GTCAATAACGCGGCTGAGAGGCAGGCGAAACGAAGGATCCGCATGGTGTGGTGGTCAACGCGTTAGCCCCGAAAGAGGTCATAGCATGCTCGGTTCCCACCGCAGATATCAGCGACCCAGAGTTTTGCAAATATCTTAGCAACATTGTGTTAACTGAACTCAGCTATCTTATAGAATTCGCTCTCCATCGCACCTCACAATGTGATCGAGGAGTACGTCGTTCTTGTTCTGAAGAAGAAACAAAAGGAAGATTTTATAAAGCCGATCTCAATGCTGTTGCCCCAGTTCATGTGCTATGCTATCGTTTCATCGAACTTTTCATCTGTATTTCTGCAGCTTGTCAAGTATTTTTTGGGGAGAAGTCTCAGTCATCACCTTCAGGCAGTGGTTGAGTCATTGTCAACTATTGACAGACGTCTAAAACTTTGATTTTGCTACCATGACAACTTACACCCTCTGTACGAAACCTTACAAATCTTCATTCACGTACTGGTGATAAGAATCCTTTCTTTGGTCTATGCTTCGCTCAAAGCGATGTGATTTTGATGAAACTTCATGAGCATCATTTAACTCAGTCCAAAATCACTGCGAACCTGGTGTAAGAAAAATTACTGTGTGGAAATTTTTGGACAAAAAATACGCTTTGGAGCGGCATATAAGTAAACTGCAAATACTAGATATAATACCCACAAAATTTCTTTGCAAACCTCGTTACAAAATTCATTACTGTTTTTGCGATGATCACAACTCCGACCTTGTTTATATGCGTCGGCTTCTAGCAGATTTTCAAGTTTAATCTATTCACGGGTATCCACACGCTGTTGGGTTAGCAAAGTCATAAATTTTTCCTCACAGCTGTCATGGATATAAGTCGCTAAAATCGTGAAAAATCATGGTCAGTCCAGCAAAATAAAAGTTAAAGAAAAATGGATCAAGCGGAACGGAATGCCTTTATTAAAAACGATAAAGCTGCGGCTTCTTTTCTCCTACTCAGCAATATGTCGCATTACCTAAACAGCCGAATAAAGCATTGATCGGGAGATTTTTAGAGGATGAGGGACGGTCAAATGCTGAATAAAATTTTAATAGTGTTAAGGGTCAAGTCGACTTTGTAGATCGTAAACTGATGAGTTATCTCAAGTTAAAATCACAATCTTAACCCTTTTATTTACTGCCTTTTTCTTCTTAATGGCAGGGTATGTTGCGAAATATAACTCGTATGAAATGCTGAGATATTTGCAAAACTCCGCACCACAGGTGTATGCGGTGGGGAACGAACCCTCGCTGTTGTCCTTACCGAGGAGCAGCGCCCTTCACCACCACACCATCCGCGTCCTTCGTCTTGCCTGTCTCTCAGCTAGTTCTATCGATCTTTTCTCTCAATATCTCAAGTTACTTTAAAAATCTCAAAATCAAGTTACTCTTGCTAGTTTGCTTTCGTACAGAAACACTAGCTATAATTGCAACGACCTCGTGCTTAACATTTTGTCTATTTCTTATTCTGCTGTCTTTTCTCAATTTTTCCTCGGAGGTCGGTATGCCTACAACTTTATCTGCTCATCAAATTTCGGATTAAAATTCCTGAAATCATATGTGATATTTTGTAACATTGTGGTCAGAAAACTTCTTTTCAATTTTATCTTTTATCTGCTTTTTTGGGTTTCATCGCAAAATCTCCTTTATATGTTTTTACGCAGTACGATGGTGAGGATACTTGGATACTTGGATACTTGGACGGTCCGTCTTCACGAGCCGTGCCGACCCCAGCACATATGCCATTCCCTCTTTTCTCTCGCAATCGTAGTCCATGGTGGTGGTCTTGTCTGAGCATGGTAGCGCTTGCGAGTCTCATTCCGTGATCTGTAAAACAACTGCAGCTACGGGTACAGCTGATTAATTTGTATGCGAACGCGTCCGCCCAACGTGTAAGTGGTCGTCCAAGGTGACGTTTGCATTCTCTTGGAGTCCACTCTACTGTTCTTTTCGTCTATCTGTCCTTTGTTCTTCTCATTATGTGATCGGCACATCTATGTTTCGCTGTCGATGTATATTCTCCTGGATCTCGAAGATGTGACAGATTCCAAAGGTCAGAGCTTCCCATTCCAGCTACATACTGAGAGTGCCGGTTATATTTCAGAAGACATCGCTCAAGCGATCTGTGAGTTGTTCGAAGACGCAGCATAACAGAGCGCTGGTAGGACCGTAGAATCAAACAGACGAGCGCGGATTTTCGGGTCCTTATGTTTGTCGGTGGCTTCTTTGAGAGGCCCGAATGCGGCCAAAGCTACTCTCCTTCTAATCTAGTTTCTCCTTCATGTTGTTTTCCATGTTCATTAATCGCCCAAGGTAAACGTACAAGGTGGTCTCTGCAATGAAAGAGCCATCCAATTCAATTTTTTCTCCTTCACACCATGGGTTTCTTGTGAACTGGGTCTTCTTTCGAATTATGCGAAGTCCGATCTTTTTCTCCGTTTCGTAGAACTCGTTGATCATCACCTCTGCTTCGCTAGTACATCTTGAGAAGATGACAATGTTGTCGGCAAAACGAAGGTTTGATAGGAATTTTATATAGATATAGATATAGATATAGATAGGAATCAATACATATGCCTTTCTCATCCCAATCAAGTGACCATTATCCACTGCAATGCGACACTGAACTGCTTTGGCGATATTGTGTTGCCCTGTCGAACCCCTTTTCCTAAGGGTATTGTAAGAGGTCGATGGAAAAGTTAGAGCAGTTCCGATAACAGTCGGACAGAGTCCTTATGTAGAACGGGTTCACTCCTTGATCGACGAGCGATGATAGGATTGCATTCGTTTCGACACTGTCAAACGCTTTCTCAGAGTCGACAAAGGTTAGGACTAGAGGCAAGTGGTATTCCCGACAAACTCCGATGACCCTGGACACGGTTTGGATGTGGTCCATGCAGCAAAATCCTTTTCGAAACCCTGCTTGCTCGACTGGTTGCGCCTCACCCAATGTCCTTGATATGCGCGAAAGGATAATCTTCGTGAAGAGAGTACACTAAACAAGCATATGGGACGATAGTTACGAAGACCCGTTCGATCTCCTTTTTTGAGTAGGATAATCGTGCGCGACGTAATCCACTGGTCTGGGATTTTCTCCTTTTGAAGGTAGCCTATCATATGGTTTGCTAGAAGTACATGTAAATTGTGGCCTCCAGCTCTAACGAAATTGGCAGTGATGTTATCGGATCCTAGAGCTGTGCCTTTTTTCATGCTTTTTATCGCAACTCGAACCTCCGACGGAAGAATTCAAGGTAGCTTTTCTGCAGCGGGGATATCAGAGCTCGGGACGGGGATTGTTGAACGGAAAAGGTTGGTGTAGAATGTTACCGCTATTAATTCCATATCATGGCGGGAAGTTTTGACGATTCCAACTTCGTTCATCAGAACTCACAGCGGAACATTATAATCACGCAAGTCCCGACGGCATTTTTTCAGACTACTTCTTTTCTCTGCTGCTTCCAGTATTTTCTTTTGCTTGTACCATTGTAGAAATCCCTGCAAAGCTCTTCGGCAGCTCGCATTTATTATTAGCCATGTTAAACGTGTTGCAGTAGGATCAAGCTCAAGTTTCCTTCTCTTTTCGAGCAACTCCTTAGTAGTGATGGAGATGCAATCTTATCCTCTTGCTTGAGGAACTGAGGCGAATTCGGCTCAGCTTTTCAGTCCTCGCGACAAGTAGCTCGTAGTCTTCGGTCGGGTCTTCTTTAATCTGCCAGTCACGTTTGGACAGGACTTCGTTCAGAATGTTTTCGTCGTATACAACTAGACTTTTTCCTCATGGTCGATGAAGAGAGTTCTGAATCGAATCTTTGCGCGAAGAAGGTGGTGATCGGAACCAGCACAGAATGACGGGACTACCGATGTGTCAAGTAGGCCCAATCTTCTATTTGTCAGAATATGGTCGATCTCCGCATGAGTCATGCCGTTGGGAGACTCTCATGTCCGGCGGCGGCTTTCTTTCCTCTGGAAAAACGAGTTTCCATGGAACAGACGTGCTGCTGACAAAAGTTTTGCGAGACGGTTCCCATTCTCATTTCTTTCTCCTAATCTAAAGTTTCCGATTCTGTATTCGCTCTCGTTGGCCTTTCCTGTTCTGGCGTTGAAGTCTCCAACAACAAATTTATTATATGCTTCATCGTTGCGGATGACTTTCTCCACCTGATAGTAGAAGGCATTCAATTCATACTTACCAGCTGCGTCGGTTGGTGAGTAGCAGTTGATGATAGTGATCTTCTTATGATGCGACAGCTAAAGACGAAGGACGGCTATGCGAGGGGGAAGGGTCACGTATGAGTCGGTCCCGTTGTTTACTTGGCGTATGTCGATCTTCTCGATTTTTGTTTCTTGTAATGCGACCACATGAAATTTAATGCGATCTGCGGCTACAAAAAGGGCGTCTGTGTTCTGGCATTGTATGTGCATAGTAAGGAACAATCTCCATGGCGTGTCGTGCGTGTGTTCGTCACATCTGGTCCCAATGACGTCCTGCGTAACCCGAGATTTTCTGGCCTCTCACCGGTCGTCTCACCGCCCGACGTCATAGACGGGAGCACTCAGTGTGCGGGGTACTTGATGCTGGCTTACTGCTGGTCGTGCAACTTCGTCCTCCCTGGAGTCATGACGTAACCTTGCAAGGGCATATCCAGCTCTCCACCACGATGTGGATCAGAGGGAGATGCGTTTTCGGCAACGAATCCTTCGCACGGTCTTCCTACTAGTTGATTCTGAGAGATGTTAAAACCGAAATCAGAAACGAAAGTAGGAAAGTAAAAGTAACCGACCGCTCAAGGACGATGTAGAAGCCGAATTCGAATTTGAATCTGAATTTGAATTCCGAATTTGACTAAAAGGCTAAGGTTTAATTTCAAAATTATAAATCATGGTTTCAGGATATAATTTTTATGGGCCGTTAGTAATTTGTGCATCTGTGGTCGTTATGTGGGCATTGAAGTGAAAATAAGCGGGTGATGCCTGACGACATCCCAAAAATTCCTAGGTGTCGAGGAAGGAGGAACCAGCCCATTGGTAAGTTACAAATCAAGACAGTTGCGATTTATGAGCGCAATATGGAATTCCTTACGTTTTACTCCCTAAAATATTCAAACTTGGTACTTAAATGACTCACAGCCGGTTTCAGTTAGTACTGATGAAAGCAAATGTTCTGACCAAGATAAAAGGTTTATTGCATTTGTTGTCTAGAGCCTGAAATATCCTTGACATGGTGTACTCAGGGTGCGCGCCGCCATAGCCAGTTGCTTGCCCTCGTAAAGAAAACATTGGTCGCCATGCAGCTAGGTTTCTTCACCCGTGGAAGGCACCGATTCTCACCACTGGTTTGCTTCAATTGAGGCACCCAGATGAAACGGATGCTTACATTCATTTATAGCTAGGGCAACCTACGGTGAGGATGAATCTGAGGTTCTATATAGGAAATTGACACTCTAAGAACACCTTTTGTCATGGTTGTGTGGTAAATCATTGTGAAAATGATGTATTTATTTGTAGAGAAGATAGTTCATAAATGGATTATTTGATTAAGCAAAATAGTCATAATTCCAATTAGTTCCAAAACTTTTGGTTTCCCAAGAAAATCGTTTCTAGAATATCAGGAATTTAAGCCCCAGAGTTATTTCCACTTTCCGAAGCTCTGAACATTTAGATAGTGCGTGGCGTCAGCAACGACTATCGGCTTTCCGACCAGTTATCACCGCTGGAAATGCCTTTCCCTACACAACTATTCTTGGTCTTATCTTCCTTGGAATTGGTATCATCTTGAAATTTGCCGTTGACCACTGTGAGTTCACAAGTTATTTCTGAGCTTAAGCCCAAAAAATGTTAGTTAGTAAAATAAAGTAGAAGAAGAAGAAGTTTAGAAGACAATTTTGAACTATAACAGAGTTTTTCAGTGTCTTGCTTTTTATAGAAGGTTCGATTCAGCTTTGGAGTTTGTCATCAAGTACACGAACTGTACAACCCTCACCGGAGAATCGACTGCACACATAACGAATTACTCCTATGCTGACGGTGCTGTACAGTGTTATCTCTCATTTAGGATTACTGACAACTACACGGTAATCGTTTCTAATCCACTTTTTTATTTGTAGTAATCGACGGGAGGTTTGCACTTCTACTTTTAGGGAAGCGTAAAATTCTACTATGGTTTAAAAGAATTTTACCAAAACAATAAACTATACGTACACTCTCGCAATGACGTTCAACTTTTAGGGAATCTAAATGAGGTACGGTCATCTTTATACTTTTTTGAAACGTTTTTTTCAAATAAATTTGATTCCACAAGTTCTATCCAAATCCTTTCAAGCTCTTTTCAAAGTGCATACTGAATACGGAAAGTGCCAAAGTCATTTTTTGTCCCCATTCTCCAGTTTCCTCTTCAGTTTTTAACTTTTTGAGCTCTCTCAGTAGCTCGTAATAGTTTTTTCCTAGGTAGCCGGTTGTAAGCCTCTTGATCGTGCCTCCAATTTTGTTTATGCTCCTTGTGGATTCGTCGCAAACTCCATGTTCAACGGTGAGCTGGTAGTTTTCCAATAAAAGTCTAAAAGAGTAAAAAAGGAAAGGAAGGAAAGTCTCTAAATTCTAAAAGAGATTATCATTCTCGTCGACGGGCCATTGCTGATAGCGCCGTTGGAGTAAAAAGATAGCCCACAGAAAGGCAAACCAACGGCCTCTGTTGGTGTAGTGGATAGCACGTGAGCATGCTTCAAAAAGACCGAAGGTTCAAGGTCCACCTGAGATGTCGAATGTTGCTCATATTTCAGGGTGCTTGTGGTTGTATTTTACACAGCACCCTGCCATAAAAATAACTGGCAAATAAAACCTAAAAACATTGGTAAAATGAGTATACGTCTTTTCAGATAGCTTCAAACTGTTTTTTCATGATAAACATGAAGCGGTCATTATTGTTCCATTCACTACAAAAGGCGTGATACCGGACAAAGTAAGGAAACGAAAGTTCCGTAATCCAAAGCTTAAAGGGAATCAGACCCTTTGTGATGCTTTTCAGGTTATTTAAATTTGAAAGCTTCTTAGGTTTTTAGGCTGTTGTTAAAAATAATTGGTATATGTTAAGATAGGGTGAAGAATCAAGGGCAAAAATGAAACATTCTTCTTTTCCATAGCTTCTGAACTCTTGTAGGCTTACTGAAATTTTTATGGAAAAACGGAGTTCCAGCTTTAAGTACCAATTCAATTTATCTAGATGCTCAATTTTTCTCGTTGTTATGCCAAAATTCGTCGCCCAACAGGGCCTCTCAAGCTGAGAAGGAGTCCATCGTTTCCATGTCGAAGCCTAGTTAAGAGTAAACCATCACCAGGATCCACCGCCGCTGTGGTATTGGTGGTATCAAACTAGTCGCACGATGGTAAATCTCCCTCTGATCCACAAGGGCGGCGACTGCCTGTGGATGGTGATGACCTGAGGCAGAATTTGGCCAAGCTGTCCTCGGGAATCCAGGGAACCACAGTGGCTAAGCCAGCAAAGTACGAGAAATGGAAATTATGCGGCAAGCGCACAGCTACTGAAGACGGCCATCCAAATATATAAGTGCGTAGGTTCATTCATTGGCATGATTAGCGCAGTGGTAGTGATCTCCTTCGTTACGTGGACGACCCAGCCTATCTTGCGCTCCGACCCAGTGCCGAAGCCCATAAGTTTCTCATCCTTCCGGGGTTTGGAAATCGGTAAGGAATCTTTCTGGAATCAGCTCACTCTCTCCAACCCATCTGAGAACGTTCTAGCGCGACTATGCCAGTACTCAAGAGGGAATCAACTTGGTCAGTATTGAAGTCATTCTTAACAAAGGCAAAAGAATTTCCAAGTAGAAGCCGAACTTACACTCAAGAAGTTCGGGGGCATTTGTGGCTGATAGACAGGAGGAAACCCGTGAAGTTCATGAAGAGCTAGAATTCGTATAGTGCGATAGATGTGGTGTCAGGTCTTGAAGTAAAATACAAATAAGGCATTTTTTTTTCATTCATAGCAGTTGTAATCACTTTTCAGCAGAATGTCCACTTTTCAGCAGTGCATGCGTTTTAAAACGGTTTTAATTGTAATTTACACATGCTACGGTATGGTCAGGGATATTAATTAAGCAGAATAAGTGTGAGAGATTCATTGCTTTCCTAATAATATTTATGTCATTCATAATCTTCCAGTGTTTTGTTTTTTATATTTATTTCTGTTATTTTAATTAAAGGTTGGGCTTGTTGAGAATTCTAGGTCAGAAGAACAGGACATGAAAGAAATTGGCCACTTACAGAACACTATGAGGCCACCGTGGTGGCAAATTGACGTGTGCAAACTAGGCTTCGGTGTTCCGGGTACCGGTATTGCCTTCGAAAATGTTGATTTTATGGTATGGATGCAAACATCCGCACTCCCAAACTTCAGAAAACACTACAGAACTCTTGATAATGAAGTGAGCAAGTAGATTCTTAAATTTTTATGTAAAAGCACCACTGTTTAGAAATTTTTGAAAGGGTGTAATTTGAATAATTATGAATAAGCTAATCACGAAGACATCAGGGAATTAATTGCATATGCACATTTTTTCTATGCCTCCTTAGATACATCCAATTAGATATAAAGATTTAATCAACTTATATCTAACTCTTATAAGAACACACACTGATGGAACATCAACATCGCAATGGTTCGATGTTTTTGGGTGTAGGTCTATGAGGTTCAGCCGACGTTCGCCTACCGAAACTAAACCAGGTTGAGAGGAAGTTGAACAGTCTTATCTGGAAGCTTAGCATGTGGCAAACCTCCTTCTGAACCGCAAGAACTGATGATTACTTTTGGCGATGACCTAAAGATGCCACATCAAGTGTTTTCGGGACTACAGGATGTGAAACATTGTTGAGTCGAACCAACACCATAACATTTTGATGAAGAACATGCTGAGGTTTCTAATTCATAGTGACAATAGGTCATTCAAATATTTAAAAATAAATATATTCAACCCGGATGGTGTAGTGGTGAAGTGCGCTGCTCACCGATAAGGACAACAGCGCGTGTTCGTTCCACACTGCATACACCTGTGGTCCGGAGTTTTCCAAATATCTCAGCATTTCATACGAGTTTTATTTCGCAACATACCCTGCCATTAAGAAGAAAAAGGCAGTAAATAAAAGAGTTAAGAATATATTCAATGTTTATAGGTGGATGGATTTCGCGATGGTTTGCCGAACGGTGTCTATACGCTGGTGATTAACTACAGTAAGTGTAAAGTTCTATAATGTCATCAGCGTCTTCTCGCCAGACACTACTTCTTCATCGTATTTCAAATCTTTAACAACAGGTTAGAGGCGAGAATAGTGAAGTAGTTAATGATGCTGTCGACTACGAGAAAAAGTCGCTAGACGAATCCCCGCTCCAACTCTCTCCTCTAATCCACGTGGGAATGCCTTAGCTCGGCTGTCTCCAAGATTACACGGGGAGTTGACTCGATCAGCGTTCTACGATACTCGTGAAGAAGACGCAATCCTCAAGCAGCAGCGAAAAAACACGCAGAACGTTCCAAAACCTTTGTGGGCGATGAATTCGAAGAAAACGAGAGCCGAATGCAGGAAAGGCTGAGATCTCCACAGTTGTTCTTGTTATTATGTGATAACGGTCATATAAAAAATGACACGTAAACTCTTAAGAGTTTTCTTTTTGCTTCTGGAATTTTTTAGGATGAATGAAGGAGACATCATACTGAGCTCATTCTGAATATATCCTCATAAAGGAAGGAGTCCAGACCAATGAAGAACTTCATGCATGATTATCCAAGAATAATAATCGAAAGAATAATCCTAACTATAGTCTGGTTTGCATCTTTAGCTAGAGTCTACGTCTACAAGTTTGTCACAAGTGTCACATGCTAGGAAAGGCGTTCATGTCTATTGAAGGCCGTACTCACAGTGCTTGACGAACAAAATTAGTTCACCCATATACAACCGTATTCAATTGCTATCGCAACCAACTGACGAACAGACTTCGGCTGAAAGCGACTTAAAATTTTGTATGGGCATTATTAGTTTATTTGTCTAAAGCTGTTCACCACTGTTTTGAACTTAATATCTCGTCACTTGAAAGACTAACACATGTGCCAAAAAAGAAACCATGTTATTGAGCCTCTGCTTTGTTAACGATATCACCATCTTTTTCATAATTATCGCTGAAAAGGAGTCGATGTCTGTGAAAGGGGAGACGCTAGGACTGCATATAGAGCAATACAGTTCATGAAAAAGAATGGTGCGATGGTAACCAAATTGAGACGAATGGTTGTGGATCTATTACAGAAATGAAATCTTCCGCACGTTTAACATATTCGACGAACATGAAAACAGTTTCAAAAGAAGAACCTGAGGAAGAGTAATAGGGGAGGCGTTTAGAGCTCTAAGAGAAGCCAAAAATCAAACAATGGATTCCAAATTCCACCCTATCCTTTCTCCACTCAACGGTCCTTCCGACTCTGTTATTCTGCTCAGACATTTGTTGATATTTTAACTACATGAAGAAACCCATGTACAACGAAAAGAGCACTTGAACGACTTTTTTGAAGTATAACCAGCTGCGAATGATCTCCTTCATACAAGGATCTCATGTCCGTTAGTCGCGAGTCAACGTTCTCATGTGGCAGATAGGAGGTTAAACGCGGACCAAAAGCGACTTTTACTTCCCTGAGATGGAGATGGATCCACAGGATGGACTATCTGTTTCTGCTGCACCTATCTGGCACAGATCTTTTGTGTTTACGAAGGCGTATTCCTGTACGTGGGTGCGTCCTTGCTTATGTAGATTGCATTCTGCGAGTGGATTGGGCCATCAAGTGATAGGGGAAAATATAAGGGCAGTTCGGATTAGCCTCCAACAAATAAGCTCCATGTCCACTCTGGGAGAGCCTGGCAAGCTACCCGTGAGTATACCCAGCCCCCACCTTCAGATCTCAGCGAGGTGTACGTGGGTATCGAAAGGCTAAACACGGTAAAATAAGCTGACCTCATTCCGCTAGCACAGAAAGGGTTCCCGATTAAGCAGCGTTGGGTAAGACGAGTACGGAGAAGCTGCTAAAATCTCAGAACCATTTTATGCTACTTAAATCGCAAAGGGCTAAGATATGTACCTACAATGCATACGCACTTGTATCTGAGTCCCCGATAGAAGACTTGATCATGCAAGCAAGAAGGATAAGGTACGACGTCATTGGCTTGGCCCAGAGGAGAAGACGCCGGCCTTTCAACGCCGTCTATGACACCGGAGAAAATCTATTTCTCTGAACCTGCAACAGTAGAGTCGGCGTCATCTGCGTACTCGTCAACACGCGTTTGACCATGAACATCGATTCATTCGAACAACAAAGAAGCTGAATCGGATGTTTACGATTGAAGAAATGTGGAACAATACCGGCTTCGGCGGTCTTTGTCATCTTCGTCATCGCCGTCGTGACAGGGAAGAATGGAAGATTTACTGGTGTCTGCTCGAGTCACCCCGCGATCGATGGGAGTAGAAGGGATGCAGGTGATACAGGTGATAACCGGCTCACATCATCGAACCAAACTATTCTATTTAGATCCTTGAACAATATCTCATTTTCAGGAAAATCAGACGGGATATAGTTCGGTGGTGAAATATGCCGGATCATGAGATGGGAGCAGCTGACAACAAAGGACGGTAGAGTGGGCTTTAGGAGAATTCAGTTCCTTTAAATGGATACGACTATGAACTGACGAACTTTCGCGACTTACGTGAACCAGCTGTATTCGTGGGTGGGAACGAAGTGGTGAGGACTCACCACCTAAATCACGTGATGCCGTAGTTCGGAATAGAGCTATCCAGTTACTAGTGCTTCTGCCGCTGAGGAGAAGAATTTTTTTCGGTTCTCCTTCACATCTAGTAATTCGATTTGCCTAGTTGTGGAGTACTTGCTATTTACGGAAATGACACTGCGGAAAACCTTCTTGCAACTTTCAGTGATTAGTCACTACTTGTAATGGTAACTTAGGAGCTTCTTGAACGACAATCAGGAAAGAAAAACAAAGTTGTCTAACAATAAGACACTGTTCGAGAAGCATTTCAAGTACCATCTGCAAAGTAAAGTTTACAGCTTTTAATTAGTTACATATTTGACTATTTTATAACAGTTTGCTGCCTTCCTTGATGAGCAAACATTAGGTTGTTAGTACAGCGTTTATTAATCCACAATATCTAACATTTCGGCGGTTCTGCGCTCTTGAGAACCTTGAAAAGCCAATTTGAGGTGCAATCTACTCAGTCAAACACTACCGCGACCTCTGCAGACAAAGCATTATATGTAAATTTTATTCGCTCGTAAACAACTTCTTCCAAATACTCATCGTTTTCTTTAATTAATAAGCTAACACAAAGTTGGTGAAAAGTTTTTATTCGGTTAACGTCTCGGCGCCTCCGACTTCAATGACCTGAGTCGATTGTCAACGGATACTCCTTCTTCTGACGACGATCGACGTGGTTCTTCGTAATCGCATAGAGTCGAATCCGGTGGAATACCGCTCGAATGAAGAACCTTACCGGAAATACTCTTTAATACAAGGCGGTTGTTGCTGATACTTGATGACAATCCATCTTACAGTAGTCAGTGCCATTGTCAGTTAGCATCGAGCATTACAATATTTCAAATGACCGAAAGAACTATTGGGAACAATCAACTACCAATTCGGCTCTGAAGAATGCGAAGATGTCGAAATGTAGGGTAACCTTTTTACCAACCTCGACTTGGCTTATTAATGAAGAAATACTCACCGTTTTGGTGAGGAATGCACCTTGTTCAGACCAAAAACAAAAAAAAAGGTTTAGGTTGTCATGACGTGCCAATAAAATACTTCCGACTTTGCACCAACATCCAGTAGACAAATGACATGTTTTCTCCGCCAATGCATAAAACAACAAATCGTCATGAACTTTATATAATGAACACACAAATTATGAGGTCTGTAAAAGAACAGCCACAAAGTACTGAACATCGAAATCCGACTACTACGCACCTCTCTATGATTCAAATAGGAAAAATGTTGGCTCAATTGCGGAAGTGCGACCCGGAATATCACTATTATGTCCAATATTTGGTGGGCAACCTCTGGAACAGAATAATGGGCGGGTCAATACAAATTTGCAATTCTTTTAGGTCGAATGCTCAAGTAGAATTAAGCAGAGAATTTGGAAATAATTTGCAGTTTTTCTTCAATAAGTAGGCAAGAGGTTGGTATTATAGAATTTGTTAGGATACAATAACTGACGTTTCTGCGGTTTCGCCTTCTTCAGAGCCTGGAAAGGTCAAATTGAGATGCGATCAATCCAGCCAAACACTTTCATAACCCTAGCAGATAAAACTTCGCAAAAAAATTTGTATTCGCGTAAGAAACAGCCTCACTTAGATACCAATCGTTTACTTGTTGTGCAGCCACATGCGCGAGGACTGTGCCTGTGTCAGGTCATTGAATCAACCTGGGGTATAGCGCTAGGTCACGCGTGATGGCAAGACACTCCTCACGGTTCAATTTTGAATTTTTGGAATTAATCTAAAGCGCTTCAAGAGTTTTATGCGCTGGTGTTTTGGATTCCTGCGTGAGGATAGTGACTCCTACTTCAAAATCTTCTCCATTGTGTTCCTGCATCCTATGTGCGCCTAGTGGAGTGTTTGGTTTCCATTTAGATTTACCGACTGGGTGTTCTTTTACACGGATGTAGAGCGGCCTACCCGTTTCGCCAAAGTATTCGTCCCCACACGCTTTGCCAGAGATTAGGTGCACCGCACCAGAACTCATGCAATCTCTGCGTCTCTACCGTTAGGGCAAATTATGCACTTTTTCGTTGTGACGATCATAAAGGTAGCTACGAATTCACTGGCGTTTTAGAATGCCCGATAGTATTTCTACCACTCTTACCGTATTTGTTAGACTGGTCCTTATTAAGCAACGTTTTACAGCTGCACTAATTTTTTTGAAATAAAGGCTAGGATAAACTGGACCTTATTTTCAATTTTGCTGAGATATTTGCAAAACTCCGGACAGCAGGTGTATGCGGGAACGAATGCGCTATTGTCCTTCCCGGGGAGTAGCGCGTTTACCACCACACCACGCGGGTCCTTCGTTTCGCCTGTCTCGTATACACCCTGCCATTAAAAAGAATAGGCAGCAAATAAAAAGGTTAAGATTGTGATTATAACTATAGCCTCAGCTTAACGGGGTTCAATGCCGATTTAAGCTCAGTTCCAAAG